AGATTGAATATCTTACCCAAACTGCCTTATTTGTCTTTATTCATGAGGCACACGTGTCGCCTCACTCTGTAGGCATTCTCTCATCTAAACACATGTAAGGACGGCTCTTGGGAACTACCAAGCCTCTCCTAATACTTAAAGCCCCTCTGTGCCTCCAGGTGCAAATTAGCTAATCAGCTTACCAGTGATGTCAGTTAAATGAAAGCAGTAAAATCTACATATGCATTGAGTCCCGAGGGTTCGCATGTTTCTAACTTAAAGGTGAATTCCGCTTGTTTTTGCAACAAAATTTTTTGCACATTTTCTTTTCTAAAAGTGTTATATTGATGTTTGTAAATAACACAACATTTTATATCTTCTATGCTATGCTTCTGTTCATGCCAGTGTTGAACCAAGGGCGCGTCCCTAACACCATTAGCAATTCTGGAGCAGTGCTCCAAGACGCGAGTTTTAAATGCCCTGGTACTGAGAGCCAGTATATCAGATCGGTACTTAGTTCTAGTATTCATTCTGCTGCATTGGCTTGGCAGCTGGGTTCTTCAACAGAAGCCACTCTTGAAATCTTTTGGCTACCTTAAAAAAAAAAAAAAGCATTCTAGCATTTTCTTCTTTAAACTGTCTCTTTCACTCTTTAAAGACAGTGAACTTTTATATTGTTTACAGTTAACAGAGCAATGTTTGGAATAAAGGTCTTATGTGCACCTTACTCATTGAAAGGCAAATGCAGTGTATCTCCATTATTTTTTTCAGGTGGTATCGAGCTCCTGAACTACTGTTTGGTGCTAGAATGTATGGCGTTGGTGTGGACATGTGGGCAGTGGGATGCATATTGGCTGAACTGCTTTTACGGGTAAGTTCTGACAACTAAATTTTGCTCTTGCACACATGGTTAATCTTCTGACACACTACAACACCCTGGTATCCCCTCTTATCAGTTCTAAAGTGAGGTTCATATTGGGGTGCATGTTGTTGTTGTACCATATCTTAAATTTTTTTATCAGACAGACCAAATTCTACTACAGTACATTTCTAGGTGGGGCATTGCTTCTAGCGAAACAGTTTTTAAGTAGTATCATCAATGTTCAGTGGTATCTGTTTGCTTAAAAATACAGGATTTGATCAGTCAAAAACATTGTATTCACCTGATTTATAGGTTCCATTTTTGCCAGGGGACTCAGACCTGGATCAGCTCACAAGGATATTTGAAACCCTGGGTACTCCAACAGAGGAACTATGGCCTGTAAGTTCAATATCTAACAGAAACCAACAAGAGAAGTTCATGGAAATGGACTGTTTTACTAGTTTTAAAGCTGATGTGGGGGGTTTTTAACAGTTGAAGACTGTTGCTTTGCAACTGATCTTTACATAGTAAAAGGTCTCATTGATGTTTCTTTTTGGACAGGGGATGACCAGTCTTCCAGATTATGTGACTTTTAAACAATTCCCTGGAATGCCGCTTCATCACATCTTCAGTGCCGCTGGTGATGATTTGCTAGAACTATTGCAAGGCTTATTTATATTTAATCCTTCTACAAGGCTCACAGCTACTCAGGTATGTATCCCCCACAATAATTTGAAAACCCATTGCAGAACTCGTATGCACCTATTGCTTGGAAAGTTGATCCTACCTTTATTATTTCTAAATTGCCAGTGTCTTCTGCGCTCTCAGGTGAGCTAACATACATTCTGCACAAGCTCCTACAAACGTTCATATTTAGAGTTGCCAGACCCCCTTGTGGGGACGGCGATTCCCCACTGACAGGCCCAGCTGCCAATCAGCTGGCTGGCGGGGGAAACTTACCCTGAAAAAGAGGGAGGCTCTGCCGAGGCGCAGTGACATGCCCATTTCACTGGCCATGTGACTCAGAAATAACTCCATTATTTCCAGGCAGGTTTTTTGGTACCCTAGGTGAGGCTACCTTCTGGCGCCGCCGCCCCCCCTGTGCCCACCAATTACAGGGTTGCCAACCTCCAGGCAGGACTGCAGTAACCGGCCTGCCCGTGGGGCCGGCAGGAGTTCAGGCCGGGGGGAGGGGTGTCGTGTGGAGCTGCTGGCTGCTCCCAGGAGGAAGGGGGGCGGTGACGTTCTGGCACATCCCCCCGGGAACATTGCAAAGAGAGAGTCTCTTTCCAAGAGAGACTCAGGCGGTTGCGTCGCAGGCAGCTCAATGGGTAAGAGGACGCACGAGCGTCGCCCGCGTGGGAGAGCGCACCCCCCTCCCCTCCGAAGGGTGCCAAGGGACGCAGCAGGCCCGCCCACCTGCCTGCCAGAGATCCTGGCCCGGAAAGGTTGAGCCCCCGCCAGCCCGGAGCCGGCTCAATTCCCCTCCCCCGGCATGGCCCAGCCTTTCAGGAGGCCGCTTCTGTGTCGCATCCACGCCAGGTCCGCGGCTGTGCCCAGGCTCCTGGCCGCCCACTCCTGTGCCACGGCGAGAGGCAGGCGCCGAGGGAAGCCCGCCGAAGTGCCGCACCTGCCTGGGAGCGAGGGAGGCAGCTGGGACCAGGCCTGGCACTCAGGGCTCTGGGAGAAGATGGAAACGGTGCCCCTCCTGGGCGGCAGCAACCAGACTCCCCCTCCTCCTCCCAGGTGCCATCCACGGAGAGCGGCGGCGGCAGCCTCTGTCCCCGCTCGGGAACCCCGCAGGCTGGCGAGACCAAGGCCTCCCCTGCGGCGGCGGGTGCTGTTGCTGCGGTCCGGAGATCGACTGCCTCTGGACCGGGAGGCTCCCTCGAATCCCCACCCCGCACACGGACACACCTGAAGGGACGGCGCTCGCCAGTCTCCGCCCGGGTCTCCTGGGGGTGCTAGCAGACCAGGCAGAGAGAGGAGGGGAGGTGGGCACGTGCTCTCTGCCGGCGTCTCGGGGCCTCCGTCCGCAGGCTGGTTGGGCTTTTCGCGGGGCGGGCTTTTCGTGGGGGGTGCAGTTTGGTGCCCCTAAGGGCCGGCACACTCTAGGCGAACGCCTAGTTTGCCTAGTGAGCGAGCCGGCCCTGTTTCCAGGACATCAGGTGATGCTCTGATATTTGGGCAAAAACTCTATGGTAGAAGCCAAGTTTACCATAGAGTTTTTGCCTGAATACCAGAGTGTCGCCCCGACATCTAGGAAGTCACTTTCGGGTCATGTGGGCAGTGACATGGGCATATTGCTGCATGTCAGAAGAGTCTCCCTTTTGCTCCTGGTATGCCCCCCCCCCCATTCCTCCGCTGGTTGCCAGGAGGGACCGGGCAACCCTATTCATACCTGATGATGGTCTTCTGTACTGCATTAGGATACTTTGCTCTGTTTGGAATGTGTTTGTAAACTCTTACTTCCTGCTACTATGCAAGCAGTTTTGCAGAAAAATCCCAAAACTAAAAAAAATTAAACCAAAACACTTGGGGGTTAAAACCTCTTCACAAAAATGGAGCATTTTGATCAAGGTCTTGTGATATAACATTTGGCTTTGGGGGGCTGCCTAGAATCCATAGTACTGGAGCCTGGGCCTAGGCAACACCAGCCCATCTGCAGGTTTGGAAGAAAGCAGCAGTGATGGGGGGGGGGGAGTGGAGAAGGGTCTGGTAAGAGAAAATGGAGCAGATGTCTGTGGGAGTTTGGTAGGATTTACCTCCTCCATTCATCTCTCTCAGGTAATTCAGATGGTCAGAATTACTAACTCCTGAATCTGTACCATTCTCCAGCTGGTTGGTGGGAAAATTAGTACCATAGTTGCATTCTGGCTCCATTTTTACTGTTTCAGTGAACAGTGACAGTCTTAAATAAAGTCCCATTTAATTGAATGCTGCAAAATATTATGGAGGTTCACCTCTTTCATTCCCATCTTTAACATATTTTCGATGTAATATGTAGGGTTGCCAGTTCTGGGTTGGAAAATACCTGGAGATCTTGGGGGTGGAGAAGGGGGAGGGGAGGAACTTCAGTGGGGTATAGTGTCATACAAGCCACCAGTGTTCCCTCTAAGCTGAGTCAGTGTGAGCTAGCTCACAGTTTTTTACCCTCTGGCTCACACATTTTTGTCTTAGCTCAGAAAGCATGGCTCCAGAGCAAACTAATTTATGCAGTAGCCAAATCACTTGCTCACAACTTTAATGCCAGTAGCTCACAAAGTAGAATTTTTGCTCACAAGACTCCACAGCTTAGAGGGAACATTGCAAGCCACCTTCCAGAGTAACCATTTTCTCCAGGGGAACTCATCTTGGTTGTCTGGAATTCAGTTGTAATAGTGGGAGATCTCCAGGTGCCATCTGGAAGAGTAGGATGGTTGTTGTTGTTTTCCCATGACATCACAGCTCACTGAGGGCGACCCTGTGGGATTTTTAAGGCAAGAGACGTTCAGAGGTAGTTTGCCACTGCCTGCCTCTGTGTCACGACTGTGGTATTCCTAGTGGTCTTGCATCCAAATACTGACCAGGGCCAACCCTACTTAGCTTCCAAGATCTGATCAGGCTAGCCTTGGGCTATCCAGGTCAGGGTACATGGAAGGGGACAACACTATACATCAGCAGTAGAAAAGAGTAAGAGTCCAGCAGCACCTTAAAGACAAACAAAATTTGTTGTGGGGGTATGCTCACTTCTTCAGATACTGCTAGAAAGTGTGTCCATATGTCCTATGTATTGGAAAGTGGAGTGATTTCAGATGCCAAATGAGATTAGTAGGCAAATTAAAATAGCAGATGTGATTGGATTAGGTGTGATATGCAGAGAGGTAGCAGGCATGGAGAAATCAGCACTGGTAATGAGACAGGAAACTTGGGTCTCGATTCAGTCCAGGTGAATGCATTGTCTTGAGCTTTATCATCAGTTGCAGTTCAGCAGTCTCTCCTTCTAATCTTTTTTTGAAATTCCTTTGTACACTCAGTGGGACTGATTCCCAAGTGCACAGCATTGTGTCTTGAGTGAAATAAACATGTTTCTGAGCTTCTCCCAGCACTTTTTTGCAACAGCATCTAAAAGCCTCTTATACAAAGGGCATCTTCAGCCCTTTTGCCTGAGCCACACATTGAGAGCTGCAGATTGGAAATGTGCTGTAAAATGTACTGGTTGTACTTTTTATTGCTATGAACTTGTAATTATTCATAATGGCTGTTCTTTGTGGTCTTCAGTTCTTCTGACTGCTTTCTAAAGGTTTTTCTTGGCAAAGACCAAAGACAGGCAATATGTTCAGCACTGAAAGTCATGTTGCAAGTATACCATGCCTTGGATGATTGTGGCAGACTTTCCTATTAGTGTAACTTAGATAGAACTTTGAGGACAGCGTAGCCAGAGCTAGTGATTTTATTGCATTTATCTGGCAATGGACTCCTGATTTCCACTATTCTCCTTATATTTGTTCCTTGAGCATTTTGCTGAAACTATCTTTACCATAAATATTAAGCTAATTGGAGGAAGGGGGAATGAGAGGCAGGATTCTAATACTTCTGCGTAGCCTGGATATTCGTATTTCAAAAGGTGCATTGGACCCACATGTGCTAATGTTAGAAGAACTGCGTAGCCTAAAATAGTAAGCTTATTTGTTAAGTGCGTAGCATATCAGTGTCCACAGTGCTTCAGTTGATAATGTTATCATTGGTAATCCTTGTAACAACTAACAGCCCTATAAGGTTGTCTAGTAACATAATTTCTATCTTGTCTTTCTGCAGCAGTACACCCAAGACAACTATCTGTAAATGCTTAAAATACATACTAAAGATAATATCACCTTAGCGGATATTTCTCAGCCTTGGCCCCAGCCTGGTGGAACTCTCTGCCGAAGGACATCCGTGCCCTGTCTGACCTATTAAAGTTCCGCAGGGCATGCAAGGCAGAGATGTTCCTCCAGGCTTTTGGTTGAGGCCAGCGACAGTTTCCTCACATCTGCCCGGCACCCTCCCCCCCCCCCAAAAATCTGAATGCTAGGTATGCCATCTTGTTCTTAAAATGTTTAAATATTTATGCTGAATGTTTTAATATTGAATTCTTGTAGTTTTAATGGGTTTTTAAATTGTATTGAATTATGATGAGTTGCCGCATGACGGAGTGAGCTCCCGACTCTAGTTCCAGCTCCTGCCAACCTAGCAGTTCGAAAGCAAGAAATTGCAAGTAGATAAATACTTACCACTTCAGTGGGAAGATAACAGTGTTCCGTGCGCCTTGGTGTTTAGTCATGCCGGCCACATGACCATGGAAACGTCTTCGGACAGCGCTGGCTCTTCGGCTTTGAAGCGGAGATGAGCACTGCAACCCTAGAGTCGGATTTGACTGGCTTTCGAGCAAGGGAAACTAATTAGTACTAAACTAATTAGTACTAAAGCTATTATCCCTGTACTGCTGAGAAGTGGGGGGGGGCAGAATTGAAGCTGAGAGAAAGCAGCTTGCCTGAAGCTGAGTTTGTGGCTGAGATGTAGTTTGATCCAGTGACCACCTTAATCATAGCTCATTTGCTTAGCCCCCTGTGTACCATCAGCTATAGCTGAGTCATAAAAAAAAATCTGCTTTGCTCTGTAAGGGAACCTGGCCAGAAACTCCAAGGTTCAAAGAAATCCCAAGGAAGTGAAATGCAAGATCCAGGGTTGCTTACAAGGAGATTTTTAATAAAGCGTCAAACTTAACAGAAAATGCAGGCTAAGCTTCCATCAGCTGGGCCTCAAGCACATACATGTACAGCAAAGCTTGCCAGAATCCAAGACCACATGCATAGCTAAAAATAAGCATCTTATACCCTAAATGCCTGCTACTAGTCAAGAACCCATTAATTAAACTATCCCAAACACTAGGATGAGCCAGGCCATCTTGCATCTGGCACCCAGTGGTGGGAAGAAACAACCTGGGCTTTGAAGTTAAGTTTTGCTAACAAGGATGAGAGAGAGGAAAGTTCCCTTGACAGCAGCTAACACCATCATCTCACAAGAATCAGGGCAACTAAGCACCAGCCTGTAACCAAGATGGAGTTATGTAGGCCATGCATGCTCACATGCAACATGTTAAAGTATTCATTTGCTTACCACAACACCTTCCTCTTTTCCACCACAACATACTCTTTATTAACCCTTTTCAAAGAGTATGCGCATGTAGTAATTACGTAAAGATCTTACAGTATCTTGTTCTGACCTCTCTAAGGCATTGAAACACAGCTATTTTAGTAACCGACCTGCACCAACACCTGGAAACCAATTGCCGAGACCCAACTGTCCTGCAGAAGCCTTGAAAGAACAACAAAATCCAGTTCCAAATCTGAAGAGGAAAAGAACAGATGTTAAAGATCAAGGTAATGTCCTTAAAGCTTAAAAACTCTTTATCTTTTAAATTTTTCCACATTTGGAAACATAATGCAACATTGACTGTCACATTGAGATCTCTCCCAATGGAAAATCAG